CAAAGTAACAAAGTAAGCAGTCTAAACCTAGACATGTATATGACACAGTTGAGTTTATCTCAGGATTTAAATGTGGTTTTGACCTCCAGGATCTCTTTATCAACTTATCATATGTAAAGTGCCTATGTAACACTTCTCAGAAAGATGTTTTGAAATCATAAGATTTAGAGAATAAAGAAGGAAGATAATTATACTGAAAAGCAGATATCAAAATATAGAAATGGGCATTTGTGATACAGTAATATCTGAATTATTGGAAAAACATGTTGAATAAGAGGATCCAGTGGTGGGTGTTCTAACCGCAACATTCTGCCATAGCAGTGAGTGTAAATCATCTTCTGAGATCTGCAACAACTGCATTTTGAATGTAAATAAAGTTAAATAATAAGCCATTAAGTGTGGATTCAGATTCAGGGGTATCTCGAGTCCATATCCCCACCACTTCCCAGAGCTCCCTGCTCTTCCCCTAATGTCACTGAAAGAAGTGGGGAAAGTTTGTGAAGCGAAGGGCATGTTCCATTGCAAAGAAATCTCGTAGCAAACTTGGGAGCATGGCCAGTGAAATGTTAACGCTGAGATTAGAGGCTGTGGGAAACCAAGCAGGGGCAGCTCTTTACAAGTCATATCATATTCTCTGTGTGTGTCCACGTGTGTGTGCATACAGACATGTGGGCATGTATGATGTATACACCTGCCTTTCGTGTGAAGCCGCCTCACTGTTCAAATTTGAAATCCATCCAAACGTGCAGTGCAGTCAGCCGAAACTCAGCCAGATGCTAAGTTGTCTGTTGTTGCTCTGTCTCTTCTGCTGAACTCCACGAGTAAACCACGCGCCAGCTGTTGCTTTCAGGGGCAATAGCTCTGTAGGCTACAGGTCCATGCCTTGTTTCACTGCCAACTCTGATTTCCTTTCAGGACAAATTGCCATTTGAAAAAGGAGGAAGCATTCATTTGGCCCACAAGCCTCTGAGTGAGGAAAAAAACATGACCTTAGAGACAGCTCTGTGGGACAGCATCCAGAAGGGGGCAGAGCACTGGGCTACGAGTCGAGGCTGTGTTTCTTTCAAGCTCTGAACTGAATTTGAGGTGGCATGTCACTTCTTTGGCCCTTGATTTGTTCAGCTTAAATTAGGGTCTTGGACCAGTTCTACCCAACGTTAGAGTACCACTTTTTTGCTCAGTGACCCTCCATGGCTCCGCAATTCCTTCAGAGGGAAAAATGTCCACATCCGATTCACGGCAGCCTCTAAGGATCCACCCCCAAAGCCACCGCTTATTTTCTATTCACTGTGGCCCACACCAGTCTCCATGCTGTCTGTCCAGAGTGAGGGACCTCCAGGCCTGTGATCACTTTTCCCTCTGCCCCTCCTCTGCCCACCCCTTTGCCTCCGTCTTTGCCTTATTCAAAGGTCACTGCCCCAGCCCCACTCCTCCCTACCACACATTCGTCACCCTCATTTATTTTCCTCCACAGTACTTATCACCAGCTCACAGACCCTGTATTTCTTTCTTTTACTTATTTTCTCTGACGATTTTCAGACTGGAAAAGCCATGCTGGATAATAGCAGAGAAATGGGGGTAAAAAGACAAATGAGGGAAGGCATCTTCTAAAAGCTAAAATGCCCACCTGAAAAGGAGGTAGGAGATAAAGTAGTAGTAGCCATTACAATTTTGGTAAACCCAAGGTACGTAGTCAGGACTAGTTTTCACAATATTTGAGGGTAGGGAGGCAGCAATAGAAAGAAATTTATCCTGAAAACAAGAAATTAAATTCTTGGGAAGATGATGTGTTCAGCTTGAAATGTCAGTAATACTTTAATGACCTTGGTCTGATAATATCCTGATTTATAATTTGATCTGTTTGGCAGCTGGGTCATGAAACTAATGGTGCCACAGTTTCGGAAGCAGAACAGACCACCCCACGATGGGAACAGGACAACCATCTGTATCCCATGGGCAAACTGGGGTTATTTTATGAATGCCCTGCAATGTAAGTCATCAGTGGAGATTCCTGTGTTGTTGATTACACTAGAATATGCTTTGGGTCTCAGAAGCATCGGTTACCGAGCCAAACAATGACCTAGCAAACCGAAACCGAGCCCGCTTTTCTGCATTAGATGCAATTATGCAGTCAGGCTTTCAAATAGGGTGCCTGTGTATATCTGTGTCAATATTTATGTTGTACAGAGCTGAAGATTTACTGCCAAGGAGTGAAATGGAATACTCATTCAGGTATGTCTCCACCATTGGTTCTCAGATCCTTCTGGTCATGTCGTCTAAGGATGAACTCAGGACCATTACTAGATGTGACTCAGCTTGGGCTGTAGCCCGTGTGGCACAGCTGTTGGCTGATATCCTTCTAAACAGAGTCATGTGAGCCAGCCAGACTGTGCAGAAAGCCCGCAAGAGCATCCTGCCTCATGGCAGCAAGGTTCACAGGGTCACCCCTTCCACATCGCACACCTGCCTTTCACATTGTTCCTATTTCTTCTGGCCGATGGTTTCTGCCTGGTTCCTTGTGTGACCTCATGGCACATCACTGGCTTGAATACAGGATGAATTTGCTGATCTGGAGTATCGGTAGAACACAGATCCCCTCCTTCTCCAATGTCTTTGTCCATTTCTGTACATTTGCTTGGGCTCTGTTTCTCTTTGGTTGAACTTGGTTTTGAGCTCTCAGTTGTCTTTAAATTGTTGCATCTCAAAATAGATTTCCATAGGAAACGTCATCTTTTCTATTATGCATAGTGCACTTTTATCTACTAGAAGGCTGATGATGTGCATGTTTTTTATCTGAGCCCTTTCAGCTCACCACTGACTTGAATTAGTTTTTTGTTTTTTTTTAAGCTTAGGAGACAGGAAAGAATTTTGGTCAATAGACTTTTCATTTATGCATGCGGGTTCATGTCTGCAAAGGCACCCCTTTGTGCTTCCTGTTTATAAGTCTACAGATAGAGGGAGTTTTCTTTTTCCTAAATTACATTCTATATATAAAATAATTGCTTTTAAAAATATACAATATCCATGGAAACGCATCCGGTTCCCTCGGTGAATGAAAGGTCATTTTGTGGCATCTTCAGTCAGCTCTGCTTTGTGACGTGGTGTCTGATTTGAGTTTCATCTTTGCTTTTGTTGTGTTTAGGGACCAGGTTCCATTAAGGGTGCAGCTGCTGTCCCTGGTGTAGAAATTATGTTCGCTTATTCTGCTTATTTTCAAAAGGACTTTAAACCAATGACCTGTTATTCCAAAATGAGTCATAATTGTAAATATGTCCTATTGGGCTATTACCAGCATTAATAATAACAACAACATTGTGAGGGCAGCATATCATTTGGTATTTTAACACACACGAAAAAAGCCTTGGAAAAAAGTTATTATTCTTATTAAGTCAAATAAAGGTCATTGAAAGGAAAAGTTGTATGCTTTTGGGAGAAATTGATAGGACTTTTAGAACTTTATAGTCTCATTAAAATACCAATTAAATAGTTCAACCTAACTCTACCCTACATAACAGGATGGAGTAACAGCAATTCTAGAGAGATTGTTCAAATTTATTCATTTTCCTATTATCTAAGTAATCCCTAACGAATTAGAAAATTCAATCCATTTCTGAGAATAGGCAGTGTGTTATTCTGCTATCAACGCTGGAGTGAAACTTATTTTGTGTTCTTTTCATTCATGGGAGATAGAATTTCCAAGTGCTTTTTGAATTATTTTTGTTCCTCTAAAATAAATTGCCTTTGGTGGTGATCTCCTGACCTCAGTTTCCTATTCCCAGTTTTCCCCATGATCATTAATGACACCCCACCTGCCATTTTAGTCATGCCTCTTAGCTGCTGAAGGGGAACAGCTTCTGACAGATGACCCTGGAGACCTCCACCCGTGCTTCATTAAGCCTCGCACCCAGCCACCAACCCTAGTCTCCTTCGCCTGAAGTAACTTTCTCTGATTTCTGCCTGGAAAGACTCTTGCCAAGCCTTGGCAGGGACCCCTCCACTTTTTAGATTTTCTGCTCTCCTTTCTAGGCATGAATTGCACTTGATTTTGTCTTGATGGTGCGTGATCGTGTGCATGTCCACTGTGCTCCCCGGCTGGACTGATCCTATGGGAGGCAGTAGTCAGGCTCTTCATCTTCCTGTCCATGTCTGGAGCACCACAGCCTGGACCCTGGTTCTCATACGTGTTTAAGTGACTTGAGCTTGGAGTTTCAACACACTCACTTACAACTGTTAGATGAGTTGGCGGTAACATTGCCCCCAACGGCCCCACAAGGTTCTATATGGCATATGTTTTTTTCTGAGTGAAATTTCTCTTTTATTTGTTTTAGTGAATTCCTCACTGTCATTTCAGATTATAAGAGTAACCCTGAGTTGTTAACCACAATAGCTCTCCCCCAACCAGCGAATGATCCTGCTGTCTGACAACTCAGAAATGGGACATAAAAGAAATAATCTATCAGTCTTAAAATCTGGAAGCCATAAGATACCGTTTTGTTCTTAGAG